GAACCTGCAAATGTCTCAACTGACCAATCAGAATCAAGCATTCCAGAGAGCCGTGTAATAAAATAAGTTAGTAATAAGCTTACTAAATAAGCTTAATAAAGTTACTAATAAGCATATATCATAGCATAAATTGGTGAATTTAGAAGAAATCTACAGATGCAAACAGATGGAGGATAGATACACTCTAAAAAATGTAGTAAATCTGAGTAACTGCATCTGGTACATTAATCAATAAAACTGAGTAGAAATAAGTTAACATTAAACATTAAAAATAACAATATTTATAAAACACACCCCTCTGCTGGATGCAGTTATTTTGGTTATTCTAATCTAAATATATACTTGAAACTAGTAGCATAGAAAATGTTTTCAAAACATGCACATTGTGGAATGGTTTCCTTTGCTGCTCTATAAACCTAGTGAATACTAAGGAGACCATGGTTTCTGTGTGAACTGATTATTTTGTAGACATCTTTTGAAAATTAAACAATTGCATGAGTTTCAGGAAGATAAAATGAACTTTTTAAATTATTTTTTTAAAAAGGAAGTCAGTGTTGCGTTAATATATATACTTTTTTGTTTAAAAAAAGAAAAAAAATACGTAATTATGAGAGTGCCCTTTATTTCACTTGAGCCCCTGCCCCTCAAAATGTCTGTGCACGTCCCTGCTGTGTTTACCTGTTAGCCTAATTAGCTTATTTAAATCTCCCACTGTGTGTGCATCTTACAGTTGAGCGCCTGACAACCTTCCCAGTTTGAAGATCTAGGAGCAACAGAGGATGTTGCAGCATCGAGCTGTGTGGTGGAGCCGGGGAGTGAAGTACGGAAAGAGTCGGCTGTGCAAGTGGGGTGCAGTGGCCCTACTGCTGTGACTGTGCAAGGGACCTTGGCTGACGCAGGGGGTGGTCCTCAAACTCAGCGATGGCAACTGAGGCGAGAGAGACGGTTGCCTGCCTGGATCAAGGATTGTGACTCAAGGACGAGTCCTCTCCTGTTGGAGGGATGGATAGTGTAGTGAACGGCTCTGGGCGTGGTCACTCCTTGCATGTTAATGGAGAACACCTGTGACTAGTATTGGGGGGGGGGAGAGAGTTAAAAAGAGGACGCCTATTTGGAGAGCAGGTGAGGTTTTTCTTGCCAGAGAAACTTTGGGGGGCTGGAGCAGCTGTCAGCATGTGGGGAACGAAACCGTGGTGTGTCTGTCGCTGAACCTTAATCTCCCTTCCCTGGGGAATGCGGGAAGGCCGGGTGTGCTTCTTTCCAGGGAAGTAACAGATTATAACTTTGTATTTTTGGAATGAATGTGAGTGTGGGTGTGTGTATGAATTTTATCCACGGATTACGGTTGTGAGCAGGAGGGCGGGGTTAGAAGGTGCATCGGGAATGGTTTGCTTGCTGTGTGTAAGGGATTGCACTAGCGTTGTGATTTAAGCTTGCTGTGCTGTATACTTGGATTTTGAGTGGAGTGGAGGGGGGGGGGGGAATTGATGTTGTAACATTCCTGGTGAGATGGGTGTTAGCTTTCGGGAAGGGGCTGTAATCCGGGAATATTTAATAAAGATTTTCTCCTATTCTGGCGTCCTTATTCGGCTGGACCTCCCCAGCATTATTAATTTAAAAAGGTGGTGTCAGCGAACTTTGGCAAGGCGCTCTTAGTGAGCGCACTTGATACAATACCATGTAATAAGCCTAAAAGCGATAGAACGCTCAAAAATTGATAGGCTTCAGAGGTTTAAAACATTCTGTACACACCTCTTTTTACCACTTACCAATTTAAACCTTCAACACGTGTCCTATTTATTACGTATTTATTATGTTAACTTAATCCTGTATTGCACTATACAGACCATGTGCAATGTCGTCACGATCTACCCCAAAACCAGTGTAGGAAATACCCCTCAATATTTTGGGGGGGGGGGGGGTCCCATGATCTCTCTATTGTTGCGCAATACCGATCTTGAGACCCCCTTAAAATTTTGCTTTTGAGGCTTTCAGGGAGTCTCATGGGTTAATCGGGGGTGTCAGACCCCCCCGTATTACGCACACTACCCAAAACGTAAAGCGCAATTAATATTTATTAACTTATTCTGCATCGGCGGAATGCGCGAAAAAAAGTATTTGCTGGTTTCAGAGTCCCTCCCCAGAATTTATTGTACGTTCTCCATTTTCTGTTTGTTCTCAGTTTCTATTTCGAAGAAAAGGCGTGTAGTCCTGATATTATCGGGTATTCATAGTGGTATATGTAGTAAATAAAGTACAGATAATGGATTTCCGGGCTCTCATTTTAACTGCCCTTGTGTGCTGTATCGGAGATCTTTCAGATGGTAAGTTCATTATTATCTAAGAGGGCAAATATACTGTTGCTATGTGTCATATTTCTATGTTACTGTCACGTTCAGGCGCGGTGCGCAAGGCGGGAAAGTAAGAGAGGGACACGTAGGATTTGGTAATACGGGTTTTGATGGAGACTGGGAGTAGGGACAGGCAACACAACACCAAGAGACTTCAAGGTAACACTTTATAATACTGTTCCGCAGTTAACAGGTAAATATGCAGGAAGTAAGCAGCAACAAAGGAGTATAGTGCTTCAACACCTAAATTAGTAGTATTCACTACTAAGGAGTTATGCTTAATTACTCAATAGGTAATAGTGAACTAATTATTATAGGAGTTCTCTAGTACTTCATTAGGAACTATTGAGTATTGCCGGTCTCATTGGGAATTACCTACTAACTATGGATTATTTCTAATAACTACTAGTTAATTACTCGTCAAATGAACAGTGCTTTTTTTGGGCTAACTGGGATGTATAGGCTACTGTTCGTTTTTGGCATTTTTTTCCCCATTTTTCCATTTTTTCCGTTTTACCACATGATGTTCTCCACCACATATTGTTGATCTTTTCTAAACATTAAGAAATTATTGTATGCATCTTAAGTAATGAAGTCTTAATAATGACCTAAATAAAACTAATTGTAACTCATTGGTAATGAATGTGGCGTTACTGTATGTCATACAAACAAGTAGGAAGAAACAAGCCTGTTTTTCCAAAAGGGGAAAAAAAATGCCAAAAACCATTGAGTACAGTCTTATTTCCTCCAAAGACAAATAACCTAAAATTGAAGGACACTTTTTTTTCCTTGGGTCTCAGGAGGATATAGTGTGACTAGTTAATCAGGAATGGATGTAATAACCTAAATTACCGATGAATTAACACTACAATGTGTCTGCTGAATATCCAAAGTGCCGTTTTTATTTATCTAGATGATATTTCCAGCTACGCCTTGAGACGTCATGTCAGTCGGTAGACGTCATGTTAGTATCTAATCATGCGTGAATTACCAGGAAAAATCTTTGTCTAAGACAGTAGATAAACCCTGTTAGAGAATGAAATAGTCCTGTGTATATGTGAAACGCCTATGTGATCCCCTGCATAGGATACGCGATGGATGGATATTCAGAATAAATAGGATAACGGTTGCGTTCCGTTTATTCCGTTTAATACAGACCCCCTCCTCCCCCGCGACAATTAAATTTTAGCTACCGCCAGCACCCCCCTCCACGCCACACAATTAATTATTTATTAATAGTTCAAGCGTGTGATACAGTACGTATAGTGAATCAGCAAACAAAGTTAGACTGTCGTAGTCAGAAAATAAGGAACAATGTAGAACAATGTATATGTGCACATACCATGTAATAAATTAAGCCTAAAAGCCTCAAAATGGATAGGCTTCAGAGGGTTAAAACTTTCTGTACACACCTCTTTTTACCATTTACCAATTTAAACCATCAACACATTTCCTATTTATTAAGTATTTATTATGTTAACTTAAACCTGTATTGCACTATACAGACCATGTGCAGTGTCTTCACGATCTACCCCAAAACCAGTGTGCGAAATACCCCTCAATATCCAAGGGCTCCCCATTTCCCTATTGTTGCGCAATACCGATCTTAAGACTCCTTAAAATTTTGCTTTTTAGGCTTTCAGGGGGTCTCATGGGTTAATCAGGGGTGTCGGACCGCTCCAGACCCCCCGTATTTCGCACACTGCCCAAAACGTAATGCGCAACTAATATTTATTGGTCCAAATCCAATAAAGACTTTATTAGTAGTTCAACCGTGTGATACATTAGGCTACATAAAGTGAGTCAGCACACAAAGTTATACTGTCGTAGTCAGAAAATAAGGAACAATGAAGAAAAACGGGGGGCTTAAGTCACAAAAGCAATAAATTACACTAAGTAAAAAATAAGCACCCAGAAGTAATGGTCCGATCTGAATGTAATTTGGTACACGCACAAACCAGCGATGGGTATGTAATAGGGCTGGGACGATTATTCGACGTAATCGACGATGTCGATTATAAATATGCATCGACGTGGAATTTTAGTGTCGACATGTTGTGTAAAACTACGTAAATGTTTCGTAACTGCAATGATGCATTAAACCGTATTGTATGGGAAAGTACTTTATCCCATCGGCACTAACGTTAACGCTGTCCTTTTAAGAATCGCGCAATAAAACAGTCTGCTAATAATTGAACTTTACTGTGCACCTGATGATCCATACCTATCAAGTTTTGGATTTGAAAATAAGGGAAATTTTCCGGCACCCGCCGCGAGCCATCCCACCACCCCAACCAAGTTCCAGTATCCCTTACATTTTAAGACAGGTGTACGAGAAATCTAAAATAACCACATGTCCTTTACATTCTATTTTCATTACACATTTTCTTTTAATTTCTCATGTTCACTCATGTGGCTCTCTGGCATTCACTAATGACTATTAGGCTATTATACAGATTTGTTGCAGACTTTGCGTCCTTGTTGAAGTCATCACAGAAGGTGAAAGTAACGTTATTTTTGGCACACAGCATTGCCAATTTAACCTCCGCATTTATGACCTGGTTTGCCTCGGTGGTATTTCTAGTCACAAATGCTAACATCGCCTGGGCATGTTTCAGTGCCTCTAGCCAGCGCTTGAGCTTAGTGGATTTTTCATGCTGACTGACATCGTTCCTTCCCCCATGGGAGACACTAAAATCGCAGTTACAAATCTTACAGAACGTTTGACTGTGCCCCATTATTCGAGATATTTACACGACTTATTTGTTTTGGTTTTTTTTTTGGCAGGAATGCTTTCTTCTTTACTTCCATCCATGTCTCCTTCGTTGTTCCGGATTTGTTCCCGCTGTCGGCACTAACCTCGCGACAACTGTCACTCAGGCTACTGCTAACCTGTCCTGTTCGTCTCAATAAACATCAGGGGCGGAGCTAAAGGCGGGGCGGGCGCGGCCACCGCCCCTGGGCCCGGGGCCTCCCCAGGTGTATTTTTTTGTCCTTGGTAAAACTCCGACGGTCTCCACACTGGTAACAACGTTGTTTTCTAGGCATAGCCAAACAAATGTCCTCCCGTCTGAAAAGGCGTAGAAAACGCAATTTAGCCACTAAAGCTTTACAGTTTTTGTGAGGGACAGTCGAATTTTCGAGTTAAGTTTTTTGTGTTCTTGCACCCACACTTTAAAACTCGTTTCAGCGCCGCCGTGCGTGTGTGCGTATCCACTGTAGCAGTGTTATTTATTAGCTTAAACTTAAGCGCTTTCACATATTCACTTTAAAATTTGATTTGCTGTGGCACTCTGTGTACTGTGTGATACACTTTGACTTGATCCTTTCATGAAAACTTGTTTCATTTGTGCAAACATCTTGTATGATGTGTTTGCTACCCATGCAGGGAGGGAGGTGAAAGTGGTCTTTGGAAGAGTAGGAGGAGAAGTTAAACTGAAGCCCACTGTGGACCAGCCCATCACCAGCATCACATGGAAAAACGGCCTGAACAAAGCAGCAGAGTGGGGAAAAAATGTAGAGGCTGGTTATTATACGATATGTAATCCCGGACCAAGGTGTCAACTGAATACTGCAACGGGGGAGCTTACAATTATGCATTTAAAGCTGAATGAAAAACTGTATTTCTCTGCTGAAATAAATGGAATGGCAGCTCAGTCATTTTTTACAGTGATTGCACTTGGTAAGTAAGATTATTATTTTAGGTCAGTTTTATTCTGTATACTTGTCCATATTTCAGTAATGAGTTTTACTTATCTTGGTGTTTTTAGCATTTTCATTTAATTGTGTCTTTACACCGATCTACAGAACCAGTGTCCAAACCCAGTGTCAGGAAAACCTGCAAAAATACCCAGTGTACTTTGGTCTGTGAGGGAAAGGACACCACATATACCAAGTACTCCTGGAAGGAGAACAATGAGATGATAGCAGATGATACCACAACACTCTATGTTCAGAAGAGTGATAAACTGGATAAAATCTACACGTGTGTGTTCAGTAACCCTGTGAGTACGGAAGACAGTGACCCTGTCAAGGAACTGGATTTATTTCCAGGTCAGTCACTCAGAAATACTCTTATATTTTAGTTTTATTGTACTATATGGTGTTCATGTACTGAAGTAACATTGTATCTGTTCCATAGGTGGCTCCAGCGGTGGGCTCATCGCAGGTTTCGTTTCATTAATTTTTGCAGCAGCTGTATGTTGTGTTATTGGTTTATGATACAAATTAATAATATTCTGTTTTTTTTCTTGTATTAAAACATTTTATTTTAAATAAAACTAAATTCATATCCTGGTCCATAGCTGTAGGCCAAATGGACGTATGTAATGATAGACATTATTATTCTTAGCGGTGTCTTACAACAGTAACCATGACTTTCAGAAAAGTTGCTTTTTGTTAAACTTTGGAAGGAATGTGATCATTTGTATTCCTAGGGAGAAAAATACATGTGGTGTTAGGACTAGTTTGCTGTGTCTGCAGACGTCTTCCTATTAACACGATAACTGAAAAAGTATTTGTCCGATATTTTTCAAATTTTGCCGGCACACTGTGGATGATGAACTGGAACTGATCAAATTTTGAGACGGATCGCCCCAAAATCGAAGCAGCGCCTCATAGTGATATCTTAAAAAGGCAGTTTCGGAAACCTGATCCCATTAACGCATAAACTTATTGCCATACTTTTGCAAACTTTGCTGACACATTCTGCTGGTCATGAACTGGAAATGATCGAACTTTGAGACAAATCACGCTAAAATTAAAACAGCGCTGCTTAGTGGCAGGAATAGGAAAGGTGAAAGAAGATGACATTTGACCGTATGAATGTGATAAGTATTGGGTGGATCTTGTTATTGCTTCAGAACAACAGTATATGGATGAAGTTCAAGGGATTTCATTTTAAGGCAAAAACCACACAGGCGCAGTTCAGGATGATGGCCGGACCGCTAGAGTAGACAGAACCACCCTCAGTGCAGTCAATTCATGTTCATTAAATTAACATTAGAACGGAGTATGGAATATTATTTAGTACTACATAACGTAGAATATAAGTATTATGATATTATTAAAAAGTATGCCAAATATCCATGATGTAATCTTTACAATGTAAACATTATAATGTAATTAACACAATGTAATCAATTCAGTATGTATTTGCACCTCGTGTTACCCTAAGAGTTTTTATTTGCTACTTTATGTTAGTCCTGAATCTATGAATATCCACTTTTATTAATATTATACCTTATCACTATGTTAAAGGACAAATATATTATCAACCCTCTAGCCAGACAATGTGTAACAGGCTGAAGCTGCCAAAGTTTGCTACTGAAGGAAGGGATTCGCCTGAGTTCACCAGAAGAACCACCAGGGAAGAAAAAACCACAACAGGAGAGCTTTTTAATATCTTTTGTCCTTGTAGCTGCTACATACTCACTATTAAAGCCATGAAGTTGTCTACCTGCTACGTTAGAATCTTCATTGAAGTGTTTATGAAAATGTTTAGGCTAAAATCTGGGCTTATTCTTCGTTGACTGACAGTGCCAGTGTGTAAGTTTGTGCATGTTGAACTTGTTGGTACCAGTGTTGTCATTGTAAACTAAAACTGAAATGAAAATGGACAATAAATATATGAAAATAATTCCTGAAGTGAAATAAAAATGAAAACCATATTTAAAAAAAACATGTCCGACTGCAAAAAGTACTACCGCACCACCAACATCTTTTACCTTGTCTAACCACAGTATCTCCTCTTTTAAAAGATGTGGCTGCTGATCTGTCCCTCCCTTTATCATGACTTCAGTGCTTATCGCTTCTGCTGCGTGTGGTGTGCTCCAATACCCAAATTTATTAAGCATGGAAATGCGCCAAATTTATACAGATTACTAATGTTGAGGGGTAAAGTGTCGAGAGGCCTGAGGGTCGGGCAAAAGACAACAAAAACATTCAAAACAAATTTGGGATCGGAGATTTATTTTCACCTCATGTCATGTTCTGGCTCCTCCCATTAAGCACACCAAAAACAAGAAGAAAAATAAAGAAAAAAAACGTCAAAAGAGAACTAATACAAATAACTATCAAACAAAAGAAAGTACGTGCAACAGACTTAACTGCAGCCTCTAGTCCCCACACAGCTGAGGATCTCCAACTCCGAGAGCACACAAGTAGCTGGGCCCACAAACTAAAAAAAACCTAACCCTTCCACCATCTTATAAGGCCTTGTCCCCACCCCTCTAATTGGAATCTACCATTCCCCTCTGGTTACAGGGGTACCATCCTACCACAAGGGACAAAAGGGCAGTAAATATAAAGACTCTGCGTAGTTTACACATGTGTGCGCCCATCTGCCTCCACTCCTGCCGATCCTGCAAACAAAATATCTTGGGAGAAAAATACCAAAACAATAATTCACTATTGCGGTAAAATGATACCACTGTCCCCTTAAGATAGTGAGGATGCTTCCATACTCCCATTCTTCAGTCGCTGGTCAAACTCCTCCAAAACAATTTCTACTGTGTTTAGGTCATTAGGCCAGGTCATGTGATGTGACAGTATCACCTTCCTTTGTAGGAGGTTTGGCCCCGAGGAAGACAAGTGGCAAGCCGTAACCAAGAATGGTTGATAGAAGCATATCCATTTCTTCAGTGAAGTTTCCTATAAGGCAATAAATAACAATATGCAGTTTGGCAGGGTGGATGATGGTAAGAGCATAGTATTCAAATGAAAAGTAGCTACAAGCAGGAGAGAGTGGGCCCAGTCCGACCCAGAGAGAGAAAGTGTGCAGATAGTGCAGCTGGAGTGGTGCTGTTCTCCAGGTAGGATGTGAAGTGCTGAATGTGTAGCAAGGGCAGGAATGACCTCAGCCTTGTTCACAGAAGACTGACAGGTCCAGTATCCAACATTGAGGGAGATGAAGGCAGAAGTAGCAGGAACACTGCAGAGGTTATGAGGGTTGTGTGTCCCCCTGTGACAATGGCAAGAGAGGCTCTGAGAATTAACCAAGGGGATATACTCAAAACGCATATCAGACAAGCAATGGGAGAGGAAGACATGCTACCTAAGCGGGTGAAAACATCATCTTGTGTCCTCGCTCAGTGGACTTGTGCAAGTAGACTTGCTGGTCTTTATGCAAGAAGGATCTTCACACAACAGGTGCTTCTCACAGGGCCGATGCCTACAGTGATGCCTGAGCACAGCTGATGTATTGATGATGCACCTCGCTAAGTGCTCACAGCTGAGGGCAGCAGTTTCAGTTAACAAAATAAAGGGCCGAGAGCAGGGCCTTGGAGCACCAGAAACCAAATGCAAAATCACTGAAAGATGCTCCTGAATCCCAAACTCCTCAATTCCTCCACTAACTAATCACCAGACAGAATGTGAAACATTTTAGCATCATTTTCTCTTTTATTGAGTTGTAACAATTGTGATTTACTAGCAGGTTAATTATATAAATCAATATTCGCATGAGATTGGAAAAGCAATTTTATTTAAACAATTGTACATCATGGTGACTGATGGCTGATACCAAAAGCTTTTGGGTCATGCTATTTACCTCTCTCTGCTGTGCCTCTGACAACTAAGAATCCAGAAAACACAGAAGGTAACACAATCTTTTACGCTGGAATAGTGAAGAATAATGAATGTTTCTGGGAAATGTGCACACGCTGAATATTCTTGAGGTGTGCTCTGTTATTTGCCAAGTTGTGCTGTGATATTAATGTACCTGTCAGATGCACACATCGATATGCAAGCGCATGTTCTCTGAGTTTGGGTTTTACACCTGATGTAACTATAATGCTGTTGTGTGAAAGAGTAGCATAGTTACTAATGCAAAAAATGTGGAAAAGCAGTGAATGAAGGCATTGACGCGATACTGCACAAATTGGAAAATGTCATTGTAATGATATAGATACATTATAGGTATTAAAAAATGTTGTGGCATTATTTAGTTTCCATGGTTACTCATATCACTGTGTGAGCTTTAGGTTTCAAATCTGGTACATTTTCTGCTCGCTTTAGTGTACTCCGTAATTTACCTTATACTGAATTACTTGTATATTAGTATTTTTACTAACTGAAAAGGTGGTTGTACAGAGTTGTCATTGCTGTGATGGACGTGAGATCTTAGTCTGAGTCACTCTGACATGCAGGGAAGTATCACCAGAGACCCATTACACTTTTAATGAATGGACACTTTTGTCCAAAGCCACATACAAGTGAGGATCAGAGAGGAGTCCTGACAGTGTCCCTCGAGCAGTTTGGTTTAAGAGCCTAAAGGTCCATTTATACTCGACGCTCCCAGTTCATTCGCTTACGCATCATGGCTGCCAGGCGCATCCTGCAGTCATTCTGCACATCCTTTGTGCAGCTCCTGAGGAAATAACGTTACAGAATTTACATTAATGTACATGAGATGTAATATTACCAAACATCTTGGGGGCAGCACTGGCTGTTTAATGTATACTGTTTAATATGTATTGTTATACATTGTCACAATTGAGATAAAGAACTTCTTCATAACTATTCTTTAGTTCTTCAGTGTATTACCACCATTTTCAGGTCATATTGTTATACTTTAAGGGCTAATGTCGAGCGGAAGTGGAATTGTTTCCACTAGTAGTTTTTTTTCCTCATAAGGATGATATCAAGACTGGGTCAGCATTCACACATCAAATTATGACATATCTGAGTAGCCCAGAATGTCCTGAAAACAAAACCATACAGCATATGTGGCTAACTCATGTACATACCATGTAGGCTAATAAGACTAAAAGCGATAGAACGCTCAAAATGGATAGGCTTCAGAGGGTTAAAACTTTCTGTACACAACTTAAAAATAATTGCCTGTTTTTACCATTTACCAATTTAAACCCTCAACACATTTCCTATTTATTACGTATTTATTATGTTAACTTAATCCTGTATTGCACTATACAGACCATGTGCAATGTCGTCACGATCTAACCCAAAACGTAAAGCGCAACTAATATTTATGGGTCCAAATCCATTTTGCTGTTTTGGGCCCTATTTTGCACCGGCGGAAAGCCTATATATAGTCACTCCCCGGAAATTAATGTAAGTTATCCGTTTTCAGTTTCTATTTCGAAGAAAAGGCGTGTAGTCCTGATATTATCGGGTATTCATAGTGTTATATGTAGTAAATAAACAGATAATGTATTTCCGGGCTTTCATTCTAACTGTCCTTATGTGCTGTATTGGAGATCTTTGTGATGGTAAGTTCATTATTACCTAAAATGGCAAATATCCTGTTGCTATATGTGTCATATTTCTATGTTACAGTGGAATAAATCCGGGTTAGCTTACTGATTGTTCATTTTTGTTAACAGAATTTCGGTTCGTCTTAAATATTGATT